TTTTTTTTTTTTTTTTTTTGAATTTGGGTGTTTGCAAATTGTTTACTTGCGTGAATTCTGAGATTTTTGGCATTTTTGAATTGTTAGTGGTAAGGTTTCTGTATGACCATTGTCACCTATTAGAATTTACTGTTATATTTGGTTGATATTCTTGTATTTATTGCATTGGTACGTGTAAAAAAAAGAATTTATCAGCTGGAGACGACTTCGATTCATTTAATGTACCACTTGAGGAACTTGAAAGAGAATCAAAACATCTTACGACTCTTGCTGAACAGTGTAAGCGATATGAGGGACATTACAGGTAAATATATTTATTTGTTGTTCTTTGAAGAATTGAATTTTGAATTGGGATTGGGTTTAGCCTATGATGTTGAAGTTTTTTTGGTTTTTATGTTGGAGTGGGGGTTTGCAGAGCTGGCTGGTCATCGTTCGATTGGCTGTTTATTTTATTATTTGCTGTAGAGGTACACACAAGAAGGAAGACGGGGCAGGTAGTATTGAAACGGTTGATTTAGTGATGTAATTTCTAATTAGGGTTGTTGTGTTTGGCTAGGTGAAGCAATTATTTCGAGCAAGAGTTTGATAGGGAGATAGGTTGGAGGTTACATGCAATTTTGCTTTTGCTTGTAACTTTAGTGGGATGCTTATAGTTGTGGAGTTGTTTGTAGGTATTATTGCAAGACTTCAAATATTGCAAAGTACAACGAGGAGGTGAGGATCATATGTGAAAGGTACGAAATATACTGCGAGGAACAATTTCCATCAACAATCAACTATGTTTGTTGCTTTACTTTGTTCCTAGAAAATTCATCGATTTTGTAAGCACTCATATACTTAAGCTGCAAAGAAGATGGTCAGAGTGTATGTTTTTCGTTTCTAAGAGTGACTGCAATTAAGAGGGTTTGAGAAAGCGAAATGTTTGTTGTCGTTTCAGTGGTTGTTTTAAAGTATGTTAGCAGCCACACTGAAGCTGTGAAAACACAAGTGGTTTTTCGTTTCAAAAATAGTCTTCTACTAAATTATTTGAGTGGTTTTCTGTGACCATTTCTCCTGAAACTGGACGAGTTTGGGGGAAGTTAGGTGTTATGTGAGGGAATTTGAAAAAAATTTTTCAAAATTATATTACAGGTGAAATTGTGCATTTTAATGACATCGGGGTGGACCATATGATTAGTACACCTCACCTCATGTTAATTTGATGTTGAGTTTATACTCATTTGTAATTGGCACTAATGTTGCTGGTAGAGGAATTCAATGAAATGTGTTGGCTTTGGATCAGATTTAAACTTGAGTTTACGGTCAATTACTGAAAGAAATTATATTTTTTTCTATTTGTTTTGACTTTTTCGTGTTTAATTGATATGTACATTTATTGTCAGATTAGATT